CCATAACAGAGGGGCTGGAGCCAGGGGCCAGAGCACCCCCTCGCCCCGCAACAAGAGCCACCAGGGACAGATGGCAGGGGGGAGGAATGGGGCACCCCCCCCCCCAAACCCCCCCCCCCCCCCCAAGCCTGCAGCTGCTGCACCAGACCTGCACCCACAGCCACCCTGCCAGGCCCATGCCCACGCCTGCCACAGGGCCTGCACCCACCTCTAGGCCCAGGCCCGGGCCCACCACCACCACCACTGGGCCTGTGCCTGCCGCTGCTGCTGGGCCCACAGCCACCACTGGGCCTGGGCCTGTGGCCACTGCCAGGCCTGCAGGTGTGGGGTGGCAGTGTCATGGGCACGGTGGTGGCCACAAGGGGAAGCGGGCCCAGACCCAAAGCAGCCGTGGGGGAGAGACGTGGGGGGGAACAGCCAAAGTGAGTGGAGTGGACCAGGCCCCAAAGTAGGGGCAGGGCCACCGCAGTGGGGGCAGAAGGCAATGGGGTTGGGCCTGCAGTGGAGGAGGGGAAGGAGTGGGAGCGGCCCTGGCCCTGAACCCAAACTGCGGGGGGGGACAGAGTCTGGCCTGAAGGGAGTGGGGCCAGACTAGCATGGGGGAAATGGGGGCATAGGGCTGAACACTGGGCTCTGTCCCCACCAACCCGCCCCATCATTTTTAATGGGCAAGTTGCTAGTATTTTTCATAATAGCATAGAGCACTTAGCCAGGAAGTGGGAAAATTGGGTTCTAGGTCTTTCTTAGCCACCGGACTTAAAACCCACATCTCCCACTTACCAGGGTAGTGCCTTCCCCAGAATCTTATGAAAAAGGTTGGGTCCCAAGGCCAGGAAGTTTTTCAGTGAGAGAGACTATGTTGCTGTCCTTTGTACTCAACTAATTTAGTGTTGTATGTGTGTGTTTGGTGTGTACCGAAGACACCTAATAGATTGGCTCCTTCAGGGACTTAGAATTTAGGTGTTGCTCCATTTCCATTCGGGAACACAGCCGAATTTAAATGGGAGTTAGGTGCCTAGGTATCCAAACTGGATTGCTTCTACACATGATCAGATGCCTAAGCACAGGTGTCCAGGGACTTTGCAGTCTAAGGTGTAGGGGCCTACTCAATTTTGCTGCCAAATAAACAGTTTTTCTGAATAGTTTTTTGGAACTCTGGTGTCTGAATTCTGCCTAGGTCCTCTTTGTTAACCAGTTTAAACTTGGTCTTTTATAAATAGACCTGGAATCTAGCTATTTCCGGAAGAAATTGCAGAAAAATAGCTATATTTAGGGACTATTTCTGGAGGGCTGCAATTGTACCCCGCTTTGATTCTTGGTCCACCTAAAATTTAAAACAAACTGCCCAGAAGCAGCAGCATTTCTTTTCAGACAGCAGTAAGGGAGTCTCCTTGGCTCATTATAATCTGCCTGATTCCTTCTAAAATCTTCATTCTGCAGGTGTTAATGACCCTCTTTCCTTTTTTTAATGGTCTTAATATTTCATTTATGAATTTAGCTGCCCCTGGTAATATAGCTCCTATTTCACAGCCCTGTAGACTGTTTTTAACTCTAGCTAAAAACATTAACTCAAATGTGGAAACATTAACTGAGGTGAATATTAACTCGGTTGTGGAAATAACTTTCAGCGAAGCATTGGATGCACTGTTAAGATGCTGAAGAAGGCTTGATTTTGTTTTATGAATCTGAAAGTGATGAACATTTAAATCTAATGACTACAGGACTAAAGAAACATCTTTTGAATATTTTTGCTTAGTTTGTAGTGTTTTTAATACAGAATATAGCAAATTGCATATAGTAAATTAATGCACATTCCTATAAAGTTATATTTATTTTTACTTCAAACTTAAATGGAATAATATAGCCCTAGGTCCCTACCATATTAGTAAAGCTCCTAATTTCTTTTTAGCAGGAGAAAAATGTGTTGTGTTATATGTGATGATGCAGCACACCATTTGCACCCCCCTTGTCAAAATATTAGATCCATCCATGGACATGCTCCACAAAGATAGTATAACTGAATACAGTTTTTCACAATCAGGGACTGAAAGCAGCATACTGACTGAATGAACCATAGCTATGAATGTGAGAGTGAACTGAAGACTAATAATGTTCAGATCAAGATGAAAAATATGTTTTTATATAAAGCCCACCCCCCATGTCAGCACTGTTTTGAAAAGTAAAATAGTATATAGTCCTTTCTCAGAAGGATGAAAAGGGAAAACACCTTTTTGTTCCAGGATATTATGTTCTTTCATTTTGCAGCAATTGGACCCTAGGGAGAAAGGCAACACTATTAAATTTAAGTACTATACAAAAGACTACGTAAAATTATTTAAATTAATTTTAAATATATCTGAATGACTTAATGAAAAGGAGAACCCATTGTGAAGCATTATGAGTACATTTAGTATATCAAAGATATATCAAAGAATGGGTTTCCATTCTCTTTGGAATGTGTGTATGAAAACAGTAGATATTCTGCAAACAATTTTCTTACATTAAAATGTATTTCTTCAGACACTGCTCATAAAATTCAGAAGTACAGCACTTTCATCAGTCTTAAAAAATTAAAAATATTTACTGAATTTACTGATCCACTTTATATCTGGTCCGTTAAATAATCACAATTTTTACTACCTATTAACCAGTCTTGTCCTTTTCTGAGTGAGACAACCTTATAAATACATTTGAGGCTCTTGCTCCCTGACAATACAGTTGGCAAATCCAAGCATCTTGTTTATTTTTCCTCTGTTAAAAGCCTTTGACGTTGTTAGCTCTGGGGTATTTGTGAAGTGCCTGTGGCCCTTAGCTTTGATAGGAAAGGTAGTTTTGGGGTTTTTTCTTTCTATTTGCTCATCTGTTAAGAGGTCTGTCTTCAGAAGTTTCACAGATGTCTCTTCTGTCATCTTTTCCACTTTCCCTGTGGTTTCTGGGTGAGACAATGGTATGGGTTGACCTGTGGTGCCGTTAGATTAATACAGGCAGTCCTCAGACTTACGACACAATTGGTTCCTGAAATCCGAGTCTGAGGTCAAAACGTTGTAACTTGGAACCAATTTTCTTATAAGAAGCAATGTTATAAAGGGAGGATTGGTTCCTGAACCAAGGCCCAATACCCTACTTTCACCAAAAATACCCCAGAATTTTGTACTCGATCAATTATAGATGAGTAATATAGCTACATTAGTGTATTTATATTGTAAATAGCAATCATATTGATTTGGAAGGACATCTTTGAGGTGACTTTGCTGGACTTTTTGAAGGGCTCTTGGTTGGAGTCTTCTCGGGAGTCTTGGCTGCAGATTTTTCTGAAGTCTTGTCTGCTTTCTTAACAAAAGTGTCCAAGGAAGTTTGGACAGATGTTCTCCAGGGAGATGAAGGACACAGCAAACTTGTTCGCTGGCGTGGCGTCGCATCAGATCAAGAGTTGTAAAGTTGAAACTAATGTCATAAAGTAGAAACAGGGTGTCAATTTATAACATTGTAAGTGTAAAACGTTGTAACTCTAAACGTTTTAAGTCGAGGACTGCCTGTACCACACAGTTGTGTTTTCACATGATCCCGGTGCACAGTATTTTTATTTCTCAGTGCTTCATTATTTGGTGATGTTACTATTTGGGGTAAAAAGCCATGAATGAAAGCCTTGTACTAGGAAGTATTTTGTCCTGACTTAAATAAATCAGCTTTCTTTTTGTCCAGATGTTCACGATTTGAAGGGTGTATTTGGTTCTTAATCTTTTATCAAGTGACTACTTTAACATTTTCTCCTCTTCCTTTTTTATCTAGATTTCTTTTTATCTAGATTTCACCATTATGATTCCTGCTTTCTGTCTTGTAATAATTCATTGTATTCAACATGCAGTTATATTTTGAGACAACTTGAAAGTTATAGCTGATGAAGTTTTCAGCTACTTTGTGTTTGGAGATGTAACCACTAGGAATGGCAGATCTGAATTTTGATACTAGATTTGGATCCCCATTTGTAGCTGGATCCAGTTTAAAAGACTGACTTTTGACTTATCGATTACTGATTCCTTCCTTGGCTGTCTGAAAGCCTGCGTTTCTCCTCTGTTGGCTTCTGGCAGCTGAGGTCTGCTGGAAGCTGAAACTATGAGAGAGCAAGGGTCTCTTGGATGGAGTTGAATGTGTGGAGCTGATGGGTTGCAATCCATTTGGTGTCAGGAGAAGGGGGTTAAGGTTTAGGAAATCCTCAAATAAGTCTTCATACTTATGAATACTTACACGATCAAATACAAAAGCTAAACCTTCTGATGCTATATAGTCAAGTCAGTCCCAAGGCCACTACAACTATTGGGGCACCTTAGATGCTGTAACAACCCTCTTGTACTCCACCCTGTTTGGCTACCTTTTTGCACTCTCAGTTGAAGTCCCATCCAGTCCTTGATATTGGTTCCCCAGCTCTTCTTGGGTCTACTTCTTTTGCTTGTTCCCTCCACAGCACCTTGCATTATGGTGTTGGCAAGGGTATCCAGATTTCTTGTGATGTGAATGATATATAATTTATATATATATAGGATTTTTGATACTATATGCATTTTGTAATATTAAAAAAGTGAAAGTAAATTATTTGAGGTATTGCATTATTCTGCTCTTACTGATGTCCACCTCTTTCAGGACCTTTTTCTTTATACATTTCACACATTCTTTGACTTTCCGTCTTATCCCAGCTGAAGGGCTTCCTTTTGATTATATTGTCTTAATGGTTCATTCATTTATATGTATATTGTAGAGTTCTTCATATCCTGCTTGCACAATATCTGCATCAAAATGTTTAAAAATACTTCTTGGGACTAATCTTCATAAAAGAGTTAAAATAGATATTGTTTTGCTAGGTGGTTCAGAATCTTCTACGTGTTGTTAAAATCTGTAAGGTGGACTCTTGAGAGTTGGTCTTCATTCAGACCATATATGTCATGAATTGATAAAATATTTATAAGTTAAATTGAGCTTTTCAGTTATTTTCCCTTTTTTTATAGCCTTTTATGTCCCCTCGATACCCTGGAGGTCCAAGGCCACCTTTAAGAATACCCAATCAGGTAAGAGCCTTATATCAAGGACATATTATTTGTGTTCCAGAAATATGGTGCAGTGGTTAGAGTGGGGAACATTCTACTTTCTACTAACTTACATGACTTAGGACTAACCTTTGCCTGCTCTATTTTGCCCAGCTGTCAAATAGGTATGTTGGTGTTATTTCATAGAGATAGCATGAAGTTTACTTAAAGCTTATTAAGTACTAGGGGTGTGCAAAGCAGGCCGTATTCAATTTGGATTCAGCCCAAATCGGGGACAGTGATTCAATTCGTTGATTCTAATCACTGTCCCTGATTCAATTCGGCCGAATCCGAATCTAAAGTTTCAACGCTGATTTGGTGAAGCAGTGATTCAGACATAGACACAGCTTTAAATGTTTTTTCTACATGCCCCGAGTTACCAGGTATGGCTCATGAACGCTGCGATGCTGGGGCAGATGGAGCATCCCACAGGAGCATGGGGGCCCCTCCCTCTGCATGCTTGTCAGGAAACCCAGAAATGGACCGAAACTAGTTCTGGTCCACTTCTGGGTCTGTTGGGGAGCCACCCCCCATGCTCCCCTGGCTCAGCGTTCGGCCACAGGGGAACCCTGTGTGCCCCTCCAAATCCAGGAAGCACCAGTCATCAAGCCAGGGGAGCCTGGGGGGTCCCCCAGTGCACTCCCTGATGGACCCGGAAGTGGACTGGAAGTGCTTCTGGTCCACTTCTGTGTCTGCTGCCAAGCGCGCTGAGACACCCCCCCCCCCCTTCCTGCTGTGGGATGCTCCATCTGCCCCAGCATCTCAACATTCACGAGCCTTCTGGTACCTAGGGGTATATAGAAAAAACATTTAAAGCTGTGTCTATGTCCAAATCTTTCCGACTCTCTCCAAATTGATTTGGGGGGTTCCAATTCAATATGGAGAGATTAGAGGATCTCCTGATTCAATTCAGATTCAGAGATTCAGCTGCCGAATTGGGCCAAATCTCCACTAAATTGATCTGGGACTGAAGCTTTGCACAGCCCTATTAAGTACTCTCACATCCTTGCATGGAAGGGATAGTGTACTATAAAAGTTGTTATTGCTGCTTTAGTTAAACATTTGTTTTAAGTATCCTGTAATTGAGCACAAAATATGTTTCTGCTTGTGGTACCTTTCAGTAATACATTATTCAATAATATACCAACATCTGACTTTCACTTAGTCTTTTTTTACTTTCTGCATTTTTAAATGTGTAAATACTGGCAGATAAAATCTGTATGCTGTGAATGCTATAAAAACTATTGCCAACCTGTAGTTTTAGTTTTGGAAGCTATTTTTGTCTGCACATTTTACATTATTTTCAGTTTCAAGCAATAACATAATAGCAGTGAATTACTGTCCTTGCAATTCATTTATGTTATGCTGCTTTCATAATTTACTGCTTTTGGCAACATTGCTTCCCTTTCTCCTTCAGTAAGTTACTGTATATATTGACAGCGCATGGAAGTAATAAACTATTGTAACACAACTTTAAGGTTGAAATTTTCGTTATAAAAAAGTCAGTAAAATCAGAGTTAAAATTCCCACAGTAGTTATAACTCTACCCCCTGAGCACATGCATTGCATTAGGGTATTATATTTACTTAATTATACATGGAAATGCAACATATTTTTCAACAGGAATATAATAAGATATACTGGAGAGGAGCTGCACTCCTTCATAAACCCATACACATTCCAGATAGTTCACGAATCAACTCTTCAGACTGGATAACCTGCATTGAGACTTTCCTCCTGATTCCATATTTGCTACCTGTCATCTGTGGCAGGGATGACTAGATCCAGTTTCACTAGAATTTGACGTTTCTGTGATTCGTTTTGTGTTTCTGTGTGCAGGATATCACTTTTTTCTACATATCAATATAACTTTTTTTACATATCCTGAATCACCAAAGTAAATAACAACGTTCTCATTGACTGAAACAGTGCAAGAGCAAATTCTGTGTTCCATGAATTATATAATGAAATATCCTGTAGTCAAAATGTTTAGTCAAAAGGGAAAAGAGAAAAGCTTAATTCTGAGTTTCTGACTCTTGGGCAATTAAACCTCTCCTGTAGACTACCTTCAGATATAAACATACTGACACATCATGCTGAGTAATAAACATTCCTATCCTATGACATTACTTTCCAGTCAACCTAAAAGGATTAGTTCTTTTATTAAACAATGCAAGTATTACCTGAACCAATCCATTTCATCATACCAAACTTACTTACCCCAGATAACATTTTTATTATGACTAAATTATTTTTGGGCTTTTGAAAGAACATCCAGCCACAAAATTCCAGTTACAATTAAGCTTGTTGAAGGATAACTGTACTGCAGGTATTATTGTAAAAAGCTAGAGAAATAAATGTTAAACCTTATTCTCTTAAAACAAACTCAAAGGACAGATAATAACTTGGAGATTTAAAAATAATATGCTAAGTTCAGGCCAGTGGTGAAGTAACAATGCATTATATCTTCATGCTTAAGGGCAAGATTTGGGACTAAGCTTAGAAACCCTTGTTTCCTGTGTAGATGGATAATGAGCTTATCTTTGAGTTAATGCCTGTGAATGATAAGGGAAGATAGATGCTAAAATATCCCCTTCATCTGAGCCAGTATTTTGAATACTATGCCACTGGCTGAATTATGGCTCATCCTTAGAGAAGATCACAAAGCCACCCTTCTAGCCAAGTAAAGAAGGATGTCAAACTGAAACATGGAAAAACAGAGAAAAAACTAGTCCTTGAATCAAGAAATAGATAACATAACATGCTCAAAAGCCAATGGAGAAAAAAAGTGAATTATGTTAAAATACAGGTTTTGAACTTAGTACGTGCCCATCCTAAGGGGGTGGGGGAGTAGCAACCAGTGCTTCAGGAGTGGTTGCACCCCCTGTTCCCAGCCCCCCACCTCAAAACTTCAGAGCAGGCAGACCATACCATGGGAACAGCAGACAGGGACTTTAAGTTCTCAATTAAGTAAGAATCCCCCCACTCACCCTCCACACTGTCAGCACCTCCCCTCTATGCTCAATAGCACTTCCCCTCCACTTCCAATCTCTCTTCATCCCCTTTACTTATGCATAGGCACATCTACACATGCAATTGATATGAAACAATAAACTCGAGAGCAGTAAACTCTGGAGGCAGAGGGCCCCGTGGGTCCATCTGCTAGCCCAGGGCTGCTTCCCCCTAGCTCAATATGTGGTGGAGGGGCTGGTTAGGGCACAAGGGTGCTTCAGTGCAGGGCTAGCTGACAGGCAGTCCCTGCACTGGAGCACCTTTGTGCCCCAGCCAGCTGGGGCAGCATCCTATATGTGCACTGCTGTGGGGTTTTAGTTTGCTCCAGCCTAATAGGAGACCATGTGTAGACACGGAGATGTTTACTGCACAGCTAATAGTCTACTGCGCGGTAAACCTCTCATGTAGATGTGCCCCCTCTGGGCAAAGGAAAGGGAGACTTGCCTGGCATTGCCACTATCCTAGGTAGTACTGCTCCCTGTCCATCCAGGGTTGCAGGGAGCAGCTGTTTGGGGAGCTGAGCTTGGCTTGGAACAACAGTGGTGGCAGGTAGGTTCCCCCTCCCTGTGCCAGCTCCCACACTGGCAGGGAATCAAAAAACCACAGAAAAGTAAGCCTAGACCTCCATAGGTCAACTAGTCCAGCCGTCTACCTAAGGCAGGATCATCCCTATCCAGACCATGCTATACAAATCCATAATCTAATCTCTTAGTAAAACTACAGTCAACCCTGACACAATACAAGATATAACACTCTCATGTGCTACAGGTAAAGCAGGGGGCGCATGGCAGCCAATGTCCTTCTTCTGTAAAAGATTGTTAATGCATGCTTAAGAGAGCCCAGGTAGAGGGTCACATTTCTTGATACAGAGGAAGACAAAATCCCCCCCACAGTCCATACCAATCTGACCATGGCGTAAAATTCCTTCTTGAACCCAAATATGGAAGTTGATCTGATCCTGAGTGGAGAAGCAAGACTGTCTAGCCAGGAACCTCCAGGTTTAAGTCCCAGCAGGAGCACTGGCACATACCCATCAATCCCCAACCTTAGCTGCAGCCAACACCCAATGCCTCTGAGAAAGGCGTAAAAAAACCCTGACGTGTAGCAACAAAGGCAATGAGGGGGAGATTAGAATTTCCTCCCAGCCAAATGAGACAACACCTAAAAGCATGGGAAATTCCCATAGTAGAATATATCGGCATATATATGCCCAGATCATCCCCAACTAGTGGCTACCCAATCTCTTCTTGAACACTGAACACCTCCAGCAGTGGAAAGTTCGCAACCTTTGTTGGCTGTCTTTCCCACTGCCTCATTGTTCAAACAGTGAAGAACAGCGATATCCTGTTACAGGAAATCAGGAGAAAGACTCCTGATATCCATGCCAAGCCTACTTTGCTGCAATTTCAAGCCAACATCTGTATCCTACACCGTACAGCAAGAGGGAAAAGTATTTTTCCTCTTCTCCATTGCAGCCCTTCAAGTATTTGAAGACTGCTATCAGTCTCTGCTATGTCCCCTCTTAAGCATCTTTTCCACAAGCTGAACTTGCTAGCTCCTTCAGCCTCTCCTCATATGATGTGCTTGCAAGGCCTTTGTTATCTTTATTGCTCACCTCTGGACCCTCTCTAACTTCTCCACATCCTTTGTAAAATGTGGAGACCAACGCTGTGCATAGTATGCTAAATGAGGCTTAGCCAGTGGCAAGTAAAGAGGAACTATGACCTCCTGCATCTTGCCACCTAATGCTTCAATTATTGCATCCCAAAACCTCATTTGCCTTTTGTGCACCTGCATCACACTGCAGACTCATGTTGAGTCTGTGATCTACCAAGATTCCCAGATTCTTCTCCATAGGGCTGCCATCCAGCCAGGTGTCACCTATTTTGTATTTGTCTTTTTGATTTTTCTTCCTGAGGTGTAGCATCTTGCACACTCAGGGGGACTGAGCACAGAATGGAACCTGGCTGCCACTACTCCTGCTGTCCCCAGCTGAGCCCAGCTCGCTGGGCAGCCTAGTTGGAGTGGAGCAAGAACAGCTCTGATGCTCCTTCTCCTCCCCCCATTCCAGCTAGGCTGCATGGGGGACTGAGTTCAGCTGGGGACAGCAGCAGTGGTGGTGACCAGGCTCCCCATCCCTGTCAGGTCCCCTCCCCCTGGGTGTTCCCTACCAGCCAGGAGCAGACACAGGAAGGGGGAACCAGCTTACTACTGCTGCTGCCCCTGGCTGAGCCCAGCTCCCTACGCAACCACAGCTAGAGAGGGCAAGAGGGGGAATGGAAGGGTAAGGGAGATACTGCTAAACGTGAAAGGGAAAGGATGGGATGCCAAAAGCATGGGTGGGGGGAGAAGCTGATTCTTACCTGATTGAGGTCTAAAAAGAAGTCTCTGGCTGCTGCATCCCAGTGGCGTGAGAGGGGAAACTGGCAGTAGGGAATGCAGCCACCCCTGCAGTGCTGGTTGCTGCTTCTGCAAACCCCCACCCTCCCCCTGGACACACACACCTTTTAAAATCATGGATCCACCTATACATCCATGTACAGGGTGGGGTCTGTCTGTGTAATCTAATTGCATGATATGGCCCTATGTCTATAGCAGAATTAAAGGCTTCCTGTTACTTGAGTAATAGAAAAAAAATCAGAAAAAAGCAAAATATTGTTTAAAACATGAGTTATATCCCCTCTTCATATGCTTTTTACATCTATAGGCACTTGGTGGTGTCCCAGGAAGTCAGCCATTATTGCCTAGTGGGATGGACCCAACACGGCAACAAGGTGAAGTGCCTGTATGCTAGGTGTTAAATGTATGTATAGAATATCACCCTTCTGTTTTTTTAGAAAAAAACTCTGTGATGTAAGACTTGTATCTCTTATAAATTGCACTACAGTTATATAACAGCTTTCAAAGCTATGAGGTAGCAATTTGTTAGTGATCATTAAGAAAGTATCTAAATACTCCACAGTTGTTAGAAATACTTCTTTTTTCAGGACATCCAAACATGGCTGGGCCAATGCAGAGAATGACTCCTCCAAGAGGAATGGTTCCCTTAGGACCACAGGTACTGTGTGTGTGTGTGTGTGTGTGTGTGTGTGTGTGTGTGTGTGTGTGTGTGTGTGTGTGTGTCTTTATATATTACATATAAAGATAGTATTGAATTAAAATTAAAATATGTCAACAATTTTCCTTTAATCCCATTCTTGAAAGGATTTTCTCTCTGCCATAAAAATTAATTCTGGTTTGAAAACTGACAGAGTCTAAAGCTGTAAGGAAATTTATTTTCAAAGATCTATTTAATTTATCTTAAATTATGCAATTGTAATTGAAATATAAAGTCTTACCTGTTTTGTGCTTGTATAACTCTCAAAGTTTCAGGAAAGTTAAGCTTATCCTACTTTTAGTGGATATTACCATCTAAGGCTAGGATCTGAAAAGGAGCCTAATGATCAAGCAGCTAACTCTCTTTGGCTTCTTTGAAAATCCTAGTCTAATTGATCATGTTTTTGGAGGGAAATGTAACCCCACAGTACAGCAAGAGTATTCATAATCTATGTAGCAAAGACAAAACAAAGCAAATTATTTTTTCTAAAGTATTTTAATTTTAATTAAAATCAATTAAATTTTAATTTTAGGACCACAAATTCCCCACTCTAATTATTTTTTGTATGCCAGAAATATTTTAATTTAACACTATTACTAATCTTTATATACAAATTGTCAGACTTTCTCCAGATCTCCTATGGAAGAAGTGCAGCCAGCCTGCACATATGTATTAGCCTTCCTTCTGCTGTTATAATTATATACAGGTTCTTTCTCTTTATTAAAGTAAAAACTAAGTAAAAAATTATAAATCTTCCACTTGCAAAAATGACTAAAGTGGAAATCAGTGTTAGTCTGATACATACCAAAGTAGTCCAATGGATTGCCCATGACATATTATTTAGCTTTTTCTGCCTAACTCAAGTATACAAATATACGAAAAGAAAGAGAAAAAAACCCAAAGTTGGAGAACTTTGGTGTTTTTTCACTTACTTTTCGGATATTTGTTTGTTTAGATGTATGTTATAGCTATTTTGGCCTCATCTCATATGCTAAAGAGATATTTGGGGTACCTTCATCCTTGTATACTGTGATTCCTTCTTTCAGATAGTCACCCTACTGACTTGTTTTATCCTATGGGATCTGAGTTTAGTTTTGAATTACTGGGTAGCTCTTCCTTTTAAACCTTTTCAGGATTGCCTTTCCAGTTTTCAGACTTTCTGGAAGAAATCGATTCTGTATGTATAACCAACAAAAAATGTATTTAAATTCATATGCTGGTTTTTCTGCAACACTTAAGTCTTTCTACAACTTACCTTTTTAAGGGTGGAAACTTAAGCTTTGAAGGGATGCCACATGAAGTTAAGCAGACACTATATGCAAGCATTAGTAACTGCACATGGCAGGCAAGTCTGATTATCAGTTTTCACAGGCATGATTTTCAGTTTTTATTCTCTTTAAAACCCCATTATTAATTCCTTGTTGGATTCTTCTTTCCATGCTTTAATCATCAGGGCTTTGGATAGGAGAAAAATTGGAGGGAAAATAGAGAATTCACCTATAACTTACTTGAGTTTTCCAGATTAGTCTCTTCTACAGATCCATGCTCATATTTCATCTTCTCATTTGTCTTGTGAGCAATCAGTTTTAAGAACCTGAAGGGCAAACTGACTGTGTGCCTTTGTGGGCACATTAGAAGTTAACTTGCATTGTCACAGTGTGACGTTGCCTGAGGTCTTGTCTACACTTGGAGAGTTTTGATGGTTTACCTCTATCAGAGTAGGTAAACTGGCAAAACCCTTGGGGCATGTCCATATTTCTAACTAACCAGGTAAGCCAGCAGTTACTCAGTTACTCCCAGGTTTAAATGATCCTGATGCTCAGATATCCTAGAACAAGGATTTCTGGAATTGAATGATATACAGAACTCTAAAGTTGGGTAATCCAGTTATACTATCTCTAGTGCCTCTTATGGTGACATAATTGTCTAAATCTCTGTGGTAAGTAATTGCCTGTCCCACCTCATTTGAATACACTCTTGTTAGGAATACTTTATTCCATATTTCCCTGAATAGATCAGAAAAAAGCAGAACTAGTACAGATGATAGAGTGAATAATGAATGTGAGGTGAGACAGGTTGCTCTATTTACACACATTTTAAGTGTAAAGAAGGAACTATTTTAGTCTTTCAAGTAAAAAATACAATTCTAGCCTTTTGCCTTCTTGTGTCCTAATCTAAATATTACTTGAGTGCACACTTTGGTTTTATATAATACAGTTTTGGATAACTTTTATAGATATTTTCTATGACATTCATCATCCTACTAGCTATATAATATTCATGTTTGTTGTCTCAAATTGGTTACAAAAGAAATTTAGTAGTTATTTTGTGTATTATAGAAATGAAATAATATATTGTAACATCTTCCTGTAAAAGTTTCCTGAATTCCATACTGTGGACACGCCAGAAAAATCAATTTTTCTGCCTTGGGATGAGCTGTCTTGGTTTAAATGTTGAGCAAATTATTGAATTTGTTTCTCATTGACCTTTGACTTTTACTTCCATATCTTCATGGAACAATTGGCATTTCACGTATGGCTACTACTTGTATTTTAAGAACTCTCTAAATAAGCAGTGTATTAGGTATACATATTTTACATTGGAAATATGTATTTTTAATCAAGAATGGGAGCTCCTGAAAGAATGAAT